GGGGGGGACGTCCCAGACGCCCTCCAGCCTCGGGAGGCTGTCTGGGCCCCCAGCTCTTGTGACCCTTGCCTTCCTCTGAGAATCGACCAGCAGATCCTGCGCAGCACCAAGAAAACGGGTCACATGACAAGCCTGACCTCCCTGCTCTGCCGGCCCCGTCTGCCTGCCCACTTCCCGGAGCAGTCTCCAGAGTTCCATTTGTGTGACCCTCCACCTCGATTTCTAGATGAGCCGACGCTGGCAGTGGCAGGCGCCCCCCGCCCGCCTTGGCCCTGCTGCCTCAGCCAGTCGGGCGCCCTCCGTGGTTGTTTGTGGCGCCTCAGAGCATCACTGGACTTGTGCCCACCGCCGGTCCCCACCCCAACTCTGTGGGGACTCTCGGTGGTGCCTGGCACCTATAGGCCACGGCAGCCACACCCCAGATCCCCTCAGGCAGCCTCTCCTGAAGGCGAGGCAGACACACTTCATTCAGAAGCTCCCCAGGCTCGAACCCCTGCGCCATCACTGTGCCCTACTCCCTCTGAACTCCCGACCCGTCCACCCACAGGCCTGCTCACACCCTCAGACAGAGACAGGGCAGTAAACAGTGGCGGCTGGCCCCCGCAGCCACCCTGATAACAGCGGATGGATGGAGCCTTCTAGAAGCCTGTTCTTAACCCCATCCCACCCATTGGGACCCCGGCAGGGTGTGGGTCTGCAGGCCAGGCCAGGGGACCAGGAGACACACCTTCTTAAGGGCCCACACCTGGGTCACAGGAGACCGGCGCTGAAGGTGGGGGCGCACCCAAGAGTCGGGTAGCATCTCCAGAGGGGTGCCCGAGGCACACGACCCTGCCAGCGCCCAGCACGGCCCCTCTCCCTCCTTCCGGGAGCAGCAGAGACAGGCAGTAGGGGCGCCATAGGAGATTTGGGCGGTTTCCGAATGTTTGGGGCTTGGCGAGATCAGAGTCCCTGGGGTCTGGCAGCGGGGTTGGGGGCAGGATGGGGAGTCGTGTCGGGAAACATCTCCATGTGTTTCTGATTCACGGGGGCCTGGTCGGGCCAGCTCTGTGAAGTCCACACCCTCCGCTGTCCTCCTGGGCCCCTGTAAAGAGCCCACTTCTGTCTCTGCAGGAAGCCCTGTCTCTTGGCTGTAAGCAAACCCATCTCTGGCTGCTGAGCTTGGCGGGGGGGGGGGGCAGGTCCCTCTCCTCTCAGGCACCCCCCTGACCCCCTGTTGCTTCCCTTAGTCCCTCAGGCCCTGTGGGTCCCCCTCAGGCAGGGAGATCTCCTGCCTGTTTGGGCTGACTGGGACCAGCTGCACACATCTGGAGCTGATCCGGTCACAGCCAGCCTTTCCCGAGGGCCCCTCCTGGGGGTGGGGGTGCCGCCAGGGGTGGTGTGGTCAGCGGCAGGAAGAGTGGGAGGTCTGACCGCCCAGGCTGACCTTAGGGGACCTCCCCCAGGGGATGGGCCTGAGGCCTGTGTACAGGCAGTTGGGGGGCTCTGGGGGCCAGAGCAGGGCCAGGGGAGGGGCCTCGGCCTTTTCCATGGGAAACTGCTGGGAATGTTTCTGGAGCGCCAGTGTGTGTCCTGAGCTGCTGGCTGACCCCTGGTTCCCATTCCCGCCTCCACCCCTCTGCTCCTGGCCCCTGCCTGCCCCCCCCCGCCCCCCCCACCATTCACTCCCAGAATGGGCCGCCCCTTGGGGGCCGGGAGAGGCCGAGTGTTCTCAGCCGCCATGGCAGGCAGTGGGGGTAGGAGTTGGCTCCCTGCCTGCCCCCCCCACCCACTCAGGCTCTGGGTCAGCAGGCTCTCTGAATCTAGTCACCCTCCTGGCACCCAGAAGTGGACACCCCCTGCTAGCGTGTGAGTGAGTGAGTGACCTCCACGCAGGCCCACATGTGCACATGCACGCCATTACCGCGTGATGCTTCCTGGCCCCTGTCCTTGGTCACTGGTCAGCCTTGGATGAGCACACAGCCCCATGTGATGGGGAGCCAGGGAGGGAGTGACTGGAGCTGGCCTGTGCTGGCGCAAAGCCACCGGTGCCTCTGCCCCGAGGTTGTGGTCTTGGGGTCCTCTGCCCAGACGACATGGGGATCAGGGTGGGCTGGAGGGTCCTGGAAGCAGCCTCCCTGGCCTTTCCCATCTCAGAACATCCAACCCCGGACCTGGCCTCCCCGTCCAGCCCACTCCTGCCCAGGCAGTCAGCCTCCGGGCTGCCCCTCCTCACATGGTGGCGTTGGGGACCTGCTGAAGCCAGCCCACTTCCGTGTAGGCGGCAGTCACGTGGCTGTAGATGAGCCCGCGCAGCTTGGCCCAGGCTCTCTGTGTCTCCGGTGGGAAGTCGTTGGCGAACTCCTCGGAGACCACCTCCAGGATGACCCCGGAGAGGATCTGGGGGGAAGCGGGGTGGGGTGGGGGGAACGGGCAGTGAGTGCCTGGGCGTGGACCCCCGCGCCCCACTACCCCACTGCCTGTGGCCAAGGGGCTCTTTTAGGGTACAGATTCTGGGGGCTTCAGCCAAGCCACAGTTCCCCATCCTGCCACCACCCGCTCCCACCACAGCCACCGCTGGAGCAGAGCCGGGCATGTGGGTGTGAGTACTCACACACACCTATGCAGGGACCTACCTTGAAGTACACAGGCTCCACCTTGTGCTTGAGGGCGTGGGCTTTGCCCACCAGGGCCAGCACGGAGGACACCTTGTCGGGGTCATGCAGGTTCTCCACGACCGTGTTGAGGGCCCCCATGACCCGGCAAGCGTGCTTCCGGAGCTGGGGGCTCTGCTCCATCTCCAGGGCCTCTTCCATGTGCTTGAACTGGCTGAAGTACTGCTTGGCCGACGGGAAGTTCACAAAGAACCTGGTCAGGGAAGGGGGGTGCTGAAGCAGGGGGCTTCCAGGCACCCCACCCCACGGTGGCCAGCATCATGGGTGGTGGCCGAGCTGGACAGCCTCCCGGACCCCAACAACGGCCCTCCCTGCCCCACATCACTGCTCTGGGAACGCAGGGTTGGAGCCACGTGCTGGCCAAACCGATGGACACACAGCTCTCCGGAGTCCCAGACACTTGGGTCCCCTGAACTGGCTCTGGTGCCCACCCTCCTCTCTCAGGCAGCCCCACCTGGCCTCTGGTCTCCTTACCCTTCAAGACCTGCTGTAGCCACACACTGCCCAGTGGGAGGGTGTGGACGCAGAGAGAGGTCAGTGCAGCCTCGGACAAGTTAATTTGCTTTTCTGAGCCTCCGTTTCCACCTCCATCCCCAAAGGGGCATCTCTGTTCCTATCTCAGGGGCCAAGATTGATACCGTTAAGTGAGGAAACCCTCCTCAGCCTGGTGCTGCTGCATCAAACCAGAAAAACCAAACATGGCTCCAACTCTCAGCAACCCCGCAGGGAAGGTTTCAGGGATGAACTCTTCACGGGAACAGCCAGCCTCATCTTTCTCCCTCAGAGTGGCCGGTGGGTTTTGAACCACCGACCTGGTGGTGAGCAGTCTGACGCTGGACACAGGGGAGCCCTGATCATGGGAAAGTCACACGACTCTTTATCCGCAGAGAAAGGTCCCAGGCACTTGGCTAAGGTGGCCCAGTTGATGAGGGGAAGCGAGGAGACCCAGCTCCCCACCTCTCTGCTCTTCAGCCTGCTCCCCTCGATCGACTGGCTGATTTCAGTCCATGGGTGCTCCTTAGAGGCAAGGACAGGGAGACTTCGTCTTGCATACTTTGGACATGTGGTCTGAAGAAACCAGTCCCCGGAGAAGGACATCGTAAAGTAGAGGGGCAGCAAAAAAGAAGACCCTTGTTGAGATGGGCAGACACACTGGCTGCAACAACGGGCTCAGGCACCGGAGCGAGTGTGAGGACGGCGCAGGAGCGGGCAGGATTTCGTTTGGTTTGCATGGGGTCGCTGTGGGTCGGAATCGGCTGGAAGGCACCAATGACAGTTGATTTCTATCTGCTTGCGTGCCTTCCCTCCCCAGCGAGACAGTGACCCGAGAGCAGGCATCAGGGATCAGGTCTTCCCGGCGCTGGCCTCTCCCTTCCCTCAAAGAACTCCACGCCCACTGCCGACAACTGCATTTTGGCTCATAGAGACCCTGCGGGACAGAGCAGAACTGCCCCGTGGGGTGTTGGGGGCTGTCTTGTCTTCACAAGAGCAGGCAGTTGAAGCGTGCCCCACAAGGATCTGGTGGCTCCGTAGAGCTGACCTCGCGGTCAGCAACTCAGCACTTAACCCGCAGGACCAGTAGGGCTACCCTCTCTGGTGTAACTCATTTTGCCTTCATGCCCTTAACAAACCACTTTGGGGAGGCCGCTCTCCTGCTCCGGCACATTCGATGGCTCCCCCTTGTCTGCCAAAGTCAAAACTCAATCTGAAATTCCAGGCCCCTTACCAACTGGCCCAGGCCTCTTCTCCAGCGCACGCCCCCTGCTCTGCTCTCCCGCAAGGGAGCCATCGGCTCTGCGGGCTGCTAGCAAGCCCTCGCGCATGCCAGCCTTCCTCTCGCGGACAACGCACGTTGGAATGTATCACTCTGTCTGGCCTCCTGGACTTGCCTCTCCCTGTCCCTGCCCAGGCTGGCCAACTGCTTCCCCTCAGATCCATCTGTCCCTCTCAGGTGACCCGCCGGCTCCTTCCCTGTGTTCTCAGACTGGCCACCACAACCCCACAGCAGAGCCCTGACCCTCGGTGACATAACATAGGGCGTCCTCACACAAGGTACACACAGGGACTGCTTCACTGGGGCCTCAGGAAACACACAGAAAGCCTCAGAAGGTCTCTGTGTCCCCTGGTGAACCGAGAATCAGGGCCCTAGGAGCCGCAGCTGAGGCAGAGAGCACGTGAGGCCCTGGATCTGGTTCCTCTGTTCCTTGAAGGGGGAAATAGAGCTCCTACCGGCAGGGCAGAGCCACGCAGAGACCTTGGGCCACCCCCTTCACAACCTGCCTGGCTGCAAGGGAGAGGGGGGCCCAGCCTGCTCCACCTGAGAACACACCTGCATGTCTCTGGAGAAGCGCAAAGATGAGGGATAGGCATAGAGCGTGCCCCACTCACATGAGGACATCAGACTGGGGAGGTGTCTCCCTGCCAAGGGGTTCTGTCGGCAGGGCGTCTCCATGTGACGTCACTGAATGGCTACATGAAGCCAGACTCAGCGCCACCTTCCACAACCACGCTCCCTGCTACCAAGCCCATTCCGACGCATGGCAACCCTGCCACACGCATGGGCTAAGACGGGCCGGTGGGTCTCCCAGACTCTGAACCTCGGTGCAAGTAGAAAGTCTCGTCTTTCCCCCAAGGAGCAGGTGGGGGGTTCTAACTGCTGACTTGGGGGTTCGCAACCGCTGACCTGGGGGTTCGCAACCTCTACCCTGCCAAGACTCCCTCAGACCCATCTTACTGATACAGAAACAATCTACCGCCAGCCGCCTTGGGAGGAGCTCTGGGCGTGTTGGCCTCTCTACTCCTGTAAAGAGGGCGGATCTGCCCTGCCCGGCGGGGTCCTTGTCAGTCGGAGCTGATGGCGTGGAGTCGGTTCTTATGTTTCAGAGGGCGACTGCTCTCCCTAGGGCTGTGGACGGCGCAGTGTCCGGGAGTGGGTTGCCAGGCCTTTCTTCTGGGGCACCCCGGGTGAATTCGGCTGCCAATCTTTCCGCCGGCAGCTGAGCTGCTTCACCATGGTGCCACCCGGGAAGCATAACACTGCCGGGTCCATTCTGGCTCTCCGCGACCCCATGGGACAGAGTAGAGCTAGCCCAGTGGGGCTCCGAGGCTGGACATCTGTACGGGCGGCCACACAGGGCTTGAGCACAGGGACACGTGTGAGGCTGGCATAGGACTGGGCAGAGTCTTGTGGTGCCCAGGGGCGCTGTGGCTCGGGACGGACTCCACAGCGCCCAGCACCACATCTCCGTGAAAGCCTACTGCCACACCTTTCTCCCGCGGGCCAGCTGGGGACCCGCGGATGTCTTTCTCTTGGCAGCGAGCACTTTATCCACTGTGGCGCTAAGGCGGCTTCAGGCAAGGGGGAACATTTACCGAGTGTGAACCATATGATCTCATTAATCCCCACAATACCCTTCTGGGGGTGGCACTGTCTTTATTGTCACCTATGGCTCAGGAAGCTGGCACCACCTTCAGCGAAGCAGGAGACAGCAGAATCACCCAGAGTTGGCAAGGAGGGGGATCCCCTCTTCCACAGCCGGCTCAACTCGTGAATTGGAGGAGCCACTGCCCAGGAGGCAGGGGGCTCTGTGCTTGGCTCTTCCTCTCTCTTGCACCTCCATACCTGGCCTGGGCACCCCCTACAGACACCCCCGTAAGCCTTGGCTGTGCTATGGGGAGATGCCAGTCTGGGGAGTTTCTCAGCTCCCAGAGACTTCTGGGTTCCCAAAGAGAGCCTGAAATAGGCTTGCCGGAGTGTGAGGGGGAAGGTGTCAGTTACTACCGGGAAGGGCCTCCACCCAGGCAGGGAGTGGAGGTGTGGAGGTTCGGCTCCAACTCACTGCCAACACCTCCACCTCCACCACCCCCACCTTTGGGCTGCCAACTCCTCCAGTATGGGCGTGTGGCCAGGCCCAGTGGGTAGTGAGGGGGCTCCGGGAGGGCGTGTCTCAGGACCTGTCCTTGTGTGTGAGGGTGAGGAGAAAGGTGTGGCAAGACTGAGGATGGGACACAAGACTGGGGATGGGGAGATACTCCCCTGTCCCACCACAAGTTCATGGATCTTGGTCTCAGCAAACCCCCCTACCCCCCAACCCTTATAAACACCTTGCCACTGGGCAGGAGATAGGGGAGGGAGGAGCATGGGGTGGGGTCAGGTGAAGGGTGTGTGTGTGTGTGTGTGTGTGTGTGTGTGTGTGTGTGTGTTTGGGGGGTGGTTAGCAGCAGTCCATGCCACCTCTCTCCCTGATCTCTGGGGTAAATGAGGAGCCTCTGAGCATGTTGGTACTCAGCCCCCGCCCAGGCTGGCCGTGCTCTAAGAGTCAGGAGAGGGGGGCACGCAGGGGGTCTGGAAGGAGACCTCTCCAGCAGCCAGGGGCAGAGATCCAGAACCAGCCCCGCCCCCTGCATGCAGCCCCTCTGCCTGTCCCCCACTCCGGCAGTTCATGATGCCCCAGGAGATGGATCTTGGGCAGGGCCTCTACATGTCCTAATGGCCACCTTTGGGATCGATGACCACTGAGGTCCGTTAGCCTGGTCACTTCGAAGTCCCCGCTGTGTAGCCTCTGGGTGACCTGCATGCCCAACAGGGCATGCTGGGGACGGGGACAGGGGGCGGGGGCTGGCACAGCCCCAAGGCATCTCTCCACAGATAGTGTGGGGTCATCTGCTCCGTGCCGGAGGCTCCAGGACTTGAGTGCCCCCTCACTCCCACCCCCAAGCTTACCTAGGCTGCCCAGACAGCTCCCCCTTCTCCACGCTCCTTCCAATTACTTCTCTGGCCCCAGCTCCTTAGAAGTGGTTCCAAGTCAGACAAGGAGCTGGAAGGGGCTGGGCTGGGGGAGGCAGAGAGTGACCCGGAGCAAGAGGAGCTGAAGTCAGCTGGGCCACAGGCAGGCCTTTACATTTAAAGTGAGTGAGCCTCATCCCTGCCTTCAGACGGTGCGGTGTTGGCCCAGATCTGCCGCCCCCTGCCAAGGACAGGCGGCCAGGGGACCATGGGTGGGGGCCTGTCTGCCTGCATCCCAGAGGCCATGTGGGCAGAAGGCACTGGTGTGCAGCTTTCTTGGGGACTAGCTTGTGGGTCTTGGTGACATTAAGTCTATGGGAATGGGGTATGTACGTGGCTGTGTAGCTGTGCAAACAGCCTGACAACAGGGGTTTTGGGTCCCTGGGGGGACTGGGGGCGTCTGAATATCCCCAGCTTGACACAGTCTTTCCCCTGGGGTAGGGATTTTGGGATGAGGCCTGTCTCCCTTCATCTAACTCAGCAAGGTGGTCCCTGGGGGGGTCTGGGGGCTTCTCCACTCACCTGTGCCTGGCCGGGGGCTCCCTGACCGCCCACCCCTTTCAGGTTAACAGGGTGTTAAATGGCACACAACCTGGGGGGTCGAGGGGACCCATACCTCCCACCTGTGCTGGAACTCTGTCTTTCCCAGTGTCCTGGGAGGAGGGGGCTGCTTCCTTGACTACTCCACACACACACACCCCACTCCCTTCTTGGCTGAAACTCAGTAATCCCATCACTAAAACGGAAGCCCTGAGACCCCCCCATTGGAGTATATGGATAGTGGCTCCGGTGACTGGCTTCTGCTGGGGTGGTTGGCTGGGCAGGAGTTGGGGTGCCCTGGAGAGGAGAAGAGAGGCGCCCTCCTCTGCGTCGGTTTCCTCGTTCCTGGGGAGCCCCTCGCCCAGGGACCAGAAGGGGCTCTGCCTGCGCCTCACCCGCCCCAGGCGCCCCACCGGCCCTGGCCCAGCTGGGGAGGCGGCGCTGGTGCTCCGACCGGCCGCGCTCCCTCCCGC